GCCAGCGTCAGCAGAGGGGTCTCTCCCGACAGTAGATGTGCTTGATGCTCCCCTCGGTTCCCCGCGCTTTCTCTAGTGCCCCAGACTGCTTCTTCAGCGCCATCCTTCTCTACCAGTTCGTAAAGTCCCATTCACTGCTGTTTCCACGTGAACACGGACCTGGCGCGTAGTGGGCATGTGAAGTTGTGGAGTCAAAGAAGCAAGAAGGAATTAACCCGACTCAGTTGTTACTTTGATCCCAAAGTCTCAGCTTTCCATCGTTGGAATTAATCTCATCACTTGATTCCCATGAGATTTTATCTAAGTGACTGAGAATCATTTGACTTAACACTTTATAATGTATAGATGTTTTCTCTTAGCTTCAGAATCAATTAAATATTTTACCTATGCGTGACTTTGTGTGTATGTATATGAATACACATATATCCATGTATTTAATGTACTTTATTCATATATAGTCTGCCTGGTTTGACGGGCATTTGATTTTTTACCTCCAGATACGGGTCCTATTTAATTTAAACTGTAATTCTCACTATATCATATAGTGCCGTGTCCTCACTGGGGATATATATTTATTGAAGATGACAGAATTGGACAGTTTGCTCATAATTGTCTGAAATTTCACTTAAAGCTAAAGAGTAAGAGTAGGGTTTCAAGCCTATAGAGTGTTTTAAATTCAAATGTTCAAATTAGGTTTAAAAAGAGGAAACAGTCTTATTTTCCTGGGCTTGATTCTCCGTCTCTCTTTGTTTAACTACAGTGAAGTAATAGAATAGTGTTTAGCGCTCTCCATATTGTCCCCGTTTTACATGCCCAGGAGGGCCTTGCGTTAAGAATGAGGTCTTGTGTGCTTCCCTGATGGCGTAGTGGTTAAGAATCTGCCTGCCAATGCAGGGGACACAGGTTCGATCCCTGGTCCGGGAAGATCCCACATGCCACGGAGCAGCTAAGCCCATGCGCCACAACTACTGAGCCCATGCGCTGCAACTACTGAGCCTGCACTGTAGAGCCTGCGAGCCGCAACTGCTGAGCCCTTGTGCCACAACTACTGAAGCCCGTGTGCCTACAGCCTGTGCTCCACGACAAGAGAAGCCACCGCCATGAGAAGCCCGCACACCACGACAAAGAGTAGCCCCCACTCGCCGCAACTAGAGAAAGCCACGCGCAGCAACGAAGGCCCAGTGCAGCCATAAATAAATAGATAGATAGATAAACAGATAGATAGACGCAGCCATAAATAGATAGATAGGTAGATCGATAGAAAGGAAATGCATGGTATTAAAAAAAAAAGAATGAGGCCTCGTCTTCATTTCTGTTTCAAGTTCCTGTTTATTTCCCTCTCTTCCAGGAAACAAATGTACTCGGATTTAAAGGCCCGAGGAAAATGTCTGTGATCATCCCAGGGATGAATATGAATCATGAACGAATCCCATTTCAGCCACGAAATGTAAGTAAGAGCATATTTCATCAACAAAGGACTCTAACAACAAGACTGCGATACAGGCAAGATGAATAGAAAACAGTGTTGATTCCTCCCGAGCCCAGCCTGGAGAGTGGCCACTCTTCCTCAGGAGAGCCAGCCCTCCAGACCTCGGGGTAGGTGCTGTTGCTAATGTGGCTGATTCGCAATCACTGGGTCTGCAAAGAGAAACGCTAGTTTTTCTATAGGAGTCCAACAAAGCCGGCTTAGTTTGGGCTCTGTTTCTGTTTTACTTGCTGAAACGGAGGAAATAGGCCCCTGCTCTGCTTCCCGCCTCAGCAGCCTTGAGGGTGAGCGCTTTGCGACGGTCCTCAGCACACACCCCTCTCCTACAGGACCGCGAGAGCCTGCTTTCAAAGTGGCAGGACAAAGCCATGGAGAACTTGATCGAGCTGCACAACAAGTCCCCCGTCTGGAACGATGACACCCAGTCCTACGTCCTGAACTTCCACGGCCGGGTCACTCAGGCCTCTGTGAAGAACTTCCAGATAGTCCACGAAAATGACCGTAAGCCCCGGGAAGAGAGGTGTTCTGACAGGATTCGGAAATGAGCATTGCCCTTCATTGGTAGGAAGTTATACTCAGGAGAGCATGATTTAAGGAAGAAATGACCTCCTCGGAAAGACAGAGCTACAGTCTTGCAGTCAGCCGTCTGAGCCGCTGAGTTGAGGGCAGGAGCGTGTGAGGTCTCATGTGGCAACCGGAGGAGTCCTGGGGGTGCTGCTCGGGGGGCAGAGGCAGAGGCCCTTCCTCAGGAAAGGTTCATGCCCTTCCGGCCCCCCACCCGAGTTTGCGCTGCCCCCCCTTGCCCTTCCGGCTCCCCCGAGCTTGTGCTGCCCCCCCTTGCCCTTCCGCCCCCCCCCGCCCCCGAGCTTGCGCTGCCCCCCCACTTGCCCTTTCCTGCTGGTCCGGGCAGGGAGCCGAGTGGAGTCGCAGTAGCGCCTTGGTCGTGCTCGGTAGGCACTCTCCGTCAGGCCTCTTTCCATCTTTCTAAGGGTTTCCCATTTTAAAGAGACCTATTTGGAGGATGTCTTCCTTACCTCCTGACGTCCCGATCTCTCTCTGCCTCTAGCTGACTACATAGTCATGCAGTTTGGACGTGTGGCCGACGACGTGTTCACCCTGGACTACAGCTACCCGCTGTGCGCGCTCCAGGCCTTTGCCATCGGGCTCTCCAGCTTCGACAGCAAGCTGGCCTGTGAATGACGGCCAAGCAGGCGCTGGGCCTTCTCTCTGCAGAGCTTCTGGAGCACGTAGCCGCCACTCTTGCGCTTGCCCAGGACACGGAGAGTGACAGGCCCCCCTTTTGGAATGGTCCCTGAAAGTATGTATGTACACGTGCACGGATGCACATACGTGTGTGTACACGTATCTGTACACACACACCCTTCTCGGGGTCTCACGGCCCTGGTCGGGGTCACAGCTTGACTCGGGTGAGAGCCTGTCCAGAGCTCACGGTGACTGTGAAGGCGCCGCCCAGCGGTCAGAATCCCGTGCTTGGAGACTTGCAGCCAGAGGCAGCTTCTCACACTTCAGTACTTGGGTCGCTTTTTTTGCAGAACTTTTCAGAGAGGGACGTTCCCTGAATTACCTTTAGTCTCCAGGTGTGCAGAGTTTTTCTGGAAGTGGGCGGCAGGCCGGTCCCGGCTGTAGGGTATCCCTGCCCCCTGTGGGCTTGGCCATCTTCCAGAACGGCCGTGTTGTGAGAGCACCTGAGTGGGGACGGTGCCTCCAGGAAGTGCAGGCCTGCAGGTCGGATCTGAAGCGGCACCCGGCCTCATCCGCTGTGACGTAGCCTTGTCTTTGCTTTGGCCACGGTGGTTTCCAGAGTGTCATTTACCGTTGGCGATCATTCCTCACCCATGGTGGGGGGGTCCCTGGGAGAAGCGCTCCTCTCTGCCGTCTCTGTGGGGGAGTGTGGTGCCCGTTCCCCAGAGCCAGCCACTGTCCCTCAGCTCGGGAGGCACCGTGTCACGGTCCCCCTTCCCTTAGGGCCGGCTGGCTGGCTGCAGTCTCAGAGTGGCTCTGGCCCAGTTTGTGATCAGTGATGCGAGCAATTTACGTACTTGTCTTAATCGCAGGGTAGGCTGCAAGCATAACCTCTAGAGGTGGCCTAGTCTGCTTACGACTGAGAGGGATTTGACAGAGGCCTTCACCACCTTCAGCCCAGGAGTGCGTCCCCGCTGGGTTACTGTGGAGCCGTTAGTGCAGACTCACCTGTAGCCCGCGTGGGAGGGGAGAGAGAACAGTGTGTGTGGAACTTGCCATTGTCGCTGCCCAGGGAGGTGAGGACCGGGCCTGGCTGGCAGAGCTTGGGCCTCTCTTCTTGGCTTAAGTGTCATCAGCCCCTGAGGCCTGGTTCGTCCTTGGCGGATCACGTCCTGTCACTTTTCCTCACAGATTGTAAGAGTTTTGCTAAGTCGTTCAGATTGTTAGCCTCTCCCCACAAATCACACGGCCCTGCTGCTAGTTCCCGGCCTCCGCGTGCATCCGAGTCCTGAGGATCCAGGAACACCGTGAGCTCTGCATTGGCGTCGGTCACCTCCCAGGCCTCGTGCGCCAGCCAAGCTGTCTGCCAGCCTGGGGCCAGGCATCGGCGGCTTGCGCTTCGTCCCGTCCCTTCTGTGGACTTCCTTTCTGTCCCTGCTTCCTATCCCTGCTCCACATCAAATAGCAGCGGGAAGGAGAGAGACCCGGGGGATGAGCAGACCCGCGGCTCACCCCACGGGTAAGTCCCACCCGCTCTGCCCTGACACGGCTGCTTCCCCTCAAGTGCCTCACTTATCAGGTGCCCGCCAGGCGCGCGGGGCCACTGGCCTGACACTGAAAATGGAAGGCTGTTCACTCGTCTCCTGTTGGAGAATATGCAGTGTCTGGGGAAGGGGGCCCGGGGGGGACTGGATCTGGCCCTGCTTCCTCCTGCCCGCTCTGGTGCAGACACACACCCCGGCTTCACGTCCTTCCTGCTTGATCGTGCAGGTGATCGGTTTCACATGAATCATATTTATACCTTTTGTATGCTACAGAAATAAAAAGGGATTTATATAAAAACATGAGTGTTGCCGTTCTTCTTTCAGACTCCTGTCCCTCACATGCCTCCTACCGTCATGTTCTGTCACAATAATTCCATCGCTTGGCAACAGCGAACCAGTCAGTTCTTTGAAGCCAAGTGGGTATCACCGAAGTTTTCATCCAGGTAAGCAGGGTCTGCAGACTCAGGGATCTGCGTCCTGGAGACTTGTAGACTCACCACGTGTGTGACGCTGAGAGTGTCCTGGGCAGGTGACGGAGCTGAGGCTGAGCAGGGGTGCCAGAGGGCAGCCTCCTGCACCGGTCAGCCTCCTGGGTCAGCTGCATTGGTGTTGCTTCCTGATTCAGCCGCAGAGCAAATTAAATACCTGATAGTGACAGAGACCCCACGTCTTACCTCTACCACATTTAAAGCTTCCCTATACGGACAAGTCGAGAAAAGTGTGTTCACAAGTCTTGCTGAGGCCTTCCTGCTCCCCGTGTCACGGGGATGGACGAGTGGCGTGGAAGGAAGCGGGAAGAGCCCAAAGGGCAGGACGAGAGCCGGAGTCGGTCTCATTTCTGTGGCTTGGCTTCTCTTCCACGTGATTCTTTGTGGCCAAACAGGTTATTTGCAACACAGTTTTGTACACTTTTCAGTGGCCAGGAATATCAATGGTCGTTGATACGAAAGACACCAGCACGTGGTGTTTCAACGTCTAAACGGGACTGCAAAAAGCTCTTTTTGATTAGAAGGTTAGTAGGTGAGAAAAAGGAATGAATGAGAATCAATTCCCTTCCTTTCTGTTTCTTTCTCTTTTTTGGCTTGTGGGATGTTAATTCCCCAGTCAGGGATCGAACCCATGCCCCCTGCATTGGGAGTGCGGGGCCCTAATCACTGGACCGCCAGGGAATTCCCAATATCCCTTCCTTTAGACAGCAGCACGGGTGCAGAAATAAAGTGACGGTTCAACTCAGAGTCCCTGGGTTCTGGCCCTTTTCCTGCCAGTGATTTGCCAACGTGCGCCCTCTGTAGATGGAGAGGTTTTGAGTTACCTGATCTCCTGTTCCTGAGTGATAAGAATGCTGGCAGCCACCCGGAATTCCCGAGTGTGTTTTTTTTTTTTTTTTTTTTTTTGCGGCACGCGGGCCTCTCACTGTTGTGGCCTCTCCCGTTGCGGAGCACAGGCTCCGGAAGCGCAGGCTCAGCGGCCATGGCTCACGGGCCCAGCCGCTCCGCGGCACGTGGGATCTTCCCGGACCGGGGCACGAATCCGTGTCCCCTGCATCGGCAGGCGGACTCCCAACCACTGCGCCACCAGGGAAGACCCCCGAGTGTGTTTTGAATCGAGGTCTGTGCTTCTCTCCTGGACAGCTACGTGCGTAGCTGGAGAGGCCTGGGGAGGAGCCCCTGGAGGCTGGAGCCAAGGGCCTAGAGAGGGGAGACTGGAATGGCGGGAGCGCGCCCCGGCTGAGAGCGTGGCCGCGCTGAGGAAGCCGCCCCTCCCAACCGCAGGCTGCATCTTGCTCCACAGAGAAAACTTGGGGGCGTTGCGAGCTGCCCCCCCTCCGCAGAGTGGCTCCTGCCTGTGTGCTCGCGCCACGTGTGCCACGCCTCCAGCCCCTGGTCCTCCTAAACTTCCCCACGTAGATCCCCGCCGGGGGCTCGCCCAGGACTGGTTAGATTCTGCCCCGCCCCTCACACATTTCTTGGCCAGGTGCATGTGGGCTAGTTTTGCCCCCTCTCCCCGCTTCGGTCTCCTAGCTATTGTAGTCAGTGTGTACCCTTCACAGGTCCTACAACTCTTCCCTCTCCAAAAACCGGGGTGCGGGCATGGGGATGCCGCGGTCAGTGCGGTTTTCAGGCAAGCTCTCCCGAAACCGCGGGCGGCTCCCTGGCACCACCTACTGACCCAGGGGGCACATTACAAGTGCATTAACACGATGAGCGCAGGTTCTGCAACCCAGATGAGGCGACTTCACAGTGGACCCTGTTGTCATGACTCTCTTGAAGGTCTGGGAACAGTAGTATTTGTGGAGTGTAGAAAGTGGAGGAATTCCAGGCAGAACGCGTGGGCTCTGGCCCCAAATGCCTAGGCATTTGGTGTAGGAGAAGGGCAAATATCAATATTATTTTTATTAATGTTTTAAGATGGGATAATGCATTTCGGTTGACTTTTTTAGCCATGCAATTACGCAAAATGGTTTATAAATGCTCATAAAGCAATTTAAGGTGGTTTTCCAGGGACTCTGGTGAGAGGAAAGAAGAACAGCATGGCTTTACTGGGTAACTAAACATACCCTGCGTTCTGGTCTCAGGCCTGATCCTACCTTACCTTCCTTACTTTGTACCCATCTCTCCTTTCCTACTTGAAGGGACAGCCTAGGCAAAACAAACAAAGCAAAACAACAAGAAAAGTAGCCCTGATGTTAATGGAAGTTTCTGAAATATTCCAAATATGAAAGGGGCCTCCATGATTTTCTCCGGCTCTGCCAGGTCCTTTGGTCCATCAGGCCCAAGCTCCTTTGCACAGGGCAAGGCTGAGGTCCAGGAGGCCGGGTGCAATAAGAGTGTGCCACGTAGACGGTTGAGCTGGTGGGCCAGGGTGGCAGTGGGACTTTTCCTGGTCTGTTCCAACCTTTTATTACACATTTTGGTATAATATAGTGCTTCTCAAGCCTCAGGGTTTTAACATCTGGTTAAGCACTACCTACCCAGATTCCGTCCCTTGTGATTTTCAAGGCCTCCAAGAATAATCAGTAGTTCTCTCTCTTCCATAGTCTGGGGGCAGGAAGGTCAGGAAGGAAGGACGGTCTGAGACGAAAGGAGGGTGACAGGCAGAGGGGGGCTGGCAGTTAGATCAAGATTTTAAGAGTGGGTTTAAATGCAGTTTTTAGGGTACTGATGCATGCTCAGGACAGACTCCATCGGGGTAAGATAGAAGGATGTCCCTAAAAATACGTCCTGATTTTGCCTTTGGTCAGTCTCCTGTGATTCTGTGTCAGAGAGAGAGAGAGATACAGATTTTAAACAGTAATAATTTCATATTATTTAAAACACTTCTTAAGATTACACAATTAAAGCCTCCTCCCGTATCTGTCCCCTTCTTGTTTCCCTTGCCCTGTACTCTTAGAGTTGACCACTTTTCGTTTCCAATGTATCGTTCCAGTATTTCTTTATGCAAAAATAAAAACGTATTTCTAATTTCCCACTCTTTGTGCACAAAAGGTAGCATACTATATACTTGGTTCAGTAGCTTGCTTTTTTTTTTGTTCCTTCGGCCGTGCCATGTGGCACGTGGGATCTTGGTTCCCCGACCAGGGATGAAGCCCCCACCCCTGCAGTGGAAGCACGAGTCTTAACCACTGGACCGCCAGGGAATGCCCACACCTTTATGCTTAGTGTCTCCACAGTCCTCAGTTCGCCCCTTTGCAGGTGTTATCTACCTGCCTGCCAAGCATCTCCTTTTGGATGGTCGACAGCTGTGCTCTCCAACACCATCGCCACTAGTCACATGGAACTATTAATTAAAATTCAGTCAGCTAGCTGCATTTCAAGGTCTCAGAAGCCATATGTGGCTCATGCCTACCATACTGGACAGCACGGATAAAGAACACTTCATCATTCCAGAATGTACTGTCGGAGAACGTGGGTCCACAGAAATCTCAACTTTGGGTTCCAAAAATGTAACCCTCTTCTCACCAGGTGTCATTCCCTGGGGAAGTTGTGCTTGTCCAACTTCCCCATCAGAATGTCAGTAGCTTGGGGGCCGGGCTGTGACGTTTCTGTTCATCCCTAGTGCCTACCTACCTGGCACAGTGCCAAGGACATCACACATGTTCAGTCAACGTGGGATGGAAACATGAGTGATAGGAGACTGAGGCCCAGACTCTAAGGGTCCCCAAGGTCATAATTAGTATTGGCCGAGCTGTTGTTTGAACCTGGGTTAGTTTAATTCCCCAGTAAGGACATAATATGTGACTTTTGTTAACTTTCATTTTCAAAATTTTGTATCAGAGTCACTGAAAAATGAAACTTTTCGCGATTAGACTGGAGGAAGCCTTTCCCCCGTTTTGATTTTTTCCAGGAAGCTCCTGGATATCCAGACCCTAAAGACCCCCTGGGACCCTCAGAGAAATTCTGAGAACTGTACGGAGAAACCTTCACCCTCTGGGCTCCAGAAACCAAAAGTTTTGTGTCAGTCTGGAAATACACTGAATTAGTTTGCTCAGGCTGCCATAACAAAGTACCACAGACTGGGTGGCTTGAACAGAAATTTATTTCTCACAGTTCTGGAGGCTAGAAGTCCGAGATCAAGGTGTAGGCAGGTTTGGTTTCTCCTGAGGCCTCTCTCCGTGGCCTACAGATGGCCATCCTCTCCCTGTGTCCTCTGTGAGAAGTCTGTGTCCTAATCTCTCTGATAAGGAGGATTAGGGTGGACCCCTAATCTAGGCAGATTGGATTAGGGCCCATCCTGAAGACCTCAGTTTACCTTAATCACCTCTTCAATACATCTGCAGATCCAGTCACATTCTGAGGTACTGGGGATTAGGGCTTCAACATAAGGTATTCGGGGGTGGGGTGAGGAGGACAGGTCAGCCCCGGCACACACTGCCCCCTAGAGGGTAGACCTGGAGTCTCTTCTTGTCCACATTTCTCTTGGATGAAGAGACAACAGAATTAACATGATGCTTTTCAAATCACAGACTGCTTTTATTCTATAGATGAAATGAAAGACTCCAGCTTTGATAAAGGTTGGTCTGTTTTGTCGTTCAGAACACAAGATGCAGTTCAGATGGTATGGAGTGAAGAGTCTTCTTAAGGAAAAAAAAGCAAATAGAGGGAATTCCGTGGCGGTCCAGTTCTTAGGACTGCGCTTTCACCGCCCAGGGCGTGGGTTCAATCCCTGGTCAGCAAGCCGTGTGGCACAGCCGGAAAAAGAAAGAAAGAAGGAAAGAAGTACAGCGTGCGTGGGTTGAAAAGAACAGGACCTGGAGTTACAGTGACCATACCCCAGCACCGAGTCAGCTGCATCCTACTTCTGAAGCCCACGAAGAGGGGGCATGCTTTGGGGATATTTCAAGAGCAATATATTTCCTTTTACCTAAAGCCTAGGAAATAATCCTTCCTGGATTCTGCCCTTGTTAACTTCTTATTAGGCTGTTAAATCCAGTTGTGGGTGTTGGTTTTTTTTCTTAAGATGTGGAAAAATTAGGGCAGGGTTAGATATATAGTTCCAGTCACATCCCACCCCTTACCCCCCCCCCCAATTATAAAAGAAGTACAAGTATGTTATAGAAAATAGAGAACAAAAAAATGAGAAAGAGGAGCTTCCCTGGTGGCGCAGTGGTTAAGAATCTGCCTGCCAACACAGGGGACACGGTTTCGAGCCCTGGTCCGGGAAGATCCCACATGCCGCGGAGCAACTAAGCCCGTGCGCCACAGCTACTGAGCCTGCGCTCTAGAGCCCGTGAGCCACAACTACTGAGCCCGCGAGCCACAACTACTGAGCCCGCGTGCCACAACTACTGAAGCCCGGACGCCTAGAGCCCATGCTCCGCAACAAGAGAAGCCACCGCAATGAGAAGCCTACGCACCGTAACGAATAGTAGCCCCCTCTCACAGCAACTAGAGAAAGCCTGTGCGCAGCAACAAAGACCCAACGCAGCCAAAAATAAATTTAATTAATTTTTTAAAATTAATTTTTAAAAAATGAGAAAGAAGGCCCCTTAATCTTCAACCTGTCAGAGATACTCACTGTAAGATTCTTTTCCATTTATTTTTCAAAAGCAGGACACAGCACTGTAAATCAGCTCTACTCTAATATAAAATAAAAATTAAAAAACAAAACAAAACAGGATTGGGACTTCCCTGGCGGTTCCATGGTTAGAACTCCGTGCTTCCACTGCAGGGGGCATGGGTTCGGTCCCCGGTGGGGGAACTAAGATCCCACATGCCGCACGGTGTGGCCTAAATAAATAAATAAAACAGGATCATCCTGTATACACTTTATTTTTATTTATTTATTTATTTTTGCGGTACGCGGGCCCTCTCACTGCTGTGGCCTATCCCGTTGTGGAGCACAGGCTCCGGATGCGCAGGCTCAGCGGCCATGGCTCACGGGCCCAGCCCCTCCATGGCATGTGGGATCTTCCCAGACCGGGGCACGAACCCGCGTCCCCTGCATCGGCAGGCGGACTCTCAACCACTGCGCCACCGGGGAAGCCCTACACTGTTTTTAAAATGTGCTTTTCCACTTATTATATCATGCACACTTGTCTGGTTTATTTTTTAAAATCTTATTAATCACTCTAAAGAATTCTATCACGTGGATGTGGCTGAATTTGTTTAATAGGGTATCATATGGATAATTTAACTATGACGATGTGGGTTGAAAAAAATTTACTAAAGGAATGGAAATAATACCAAATGACACATGATAAAAGTAATTAATATGATTTTTGACTTTGATTTTGGAGAATAAACAACACAAATAGCTTCCACGCTTCAAACCCAGCTCTGACCACACCCGTGCCGTCTTCTTTCTGCACAACTTTGGTGAAGCTCGACCAGGATCCATTTGTGGGTCCAGGTAAAGTGGCTGGGATCACGAGGAAGTGAGGTGAGGTGAGGTGTGGATTTTATGGTGTAATTTGAGGGGAGCCATGTGCATCTCTCTAGCTCTATCCGGACATGAAATATTTCCACCAAGAGATTCATTCCTGAAGGCCAACAAATGAGTCATGTCTCTTAAGAAATGTAAATATCCCTGAAAGGGCAGGCACGTGTGTAAAATCACTGTCTTTCACCTTCGGGACTTCTAAGAAGTTTCCTTTATCCAGAGTGACCTCAACAGCTTGGGAACGGGAGATACCTAAAGGCACAGAGCTCTCTAGAAGCCTGTGGGAGGCTGAGGTTCTGATCCTTTATGGTCTTGGATAGTTAGGGTCTGGAGGGAATAAGCCGGTCTGATCTCCAAATACCCTCTCAGCAGTGTGTGCTGAGCGGGCCGCCCGAAGGCTGCTTTCCTGTCTCCAAGGGACTCCGTCCTACCTTCCTCCCACCCCTCTGAGCCCAGCTGGACTGACCCTCGAATCCAACATAGTCCTGTCTTTCTTTGAGTTCTTATCTTTGCTAATGGTGCCACCAATCGTTCAGCTGTCAAAGTTCTGTGATTTTTGTCTCCTCTCTCACCTCACAGCCAACTTAGTCACCATTTCTGTTGACTTTGCTTCTGGACTATTTCCTGGACCCCTTCCCTCATCCTCAGCCTCAGGACCACTACCCTGACTCTCCAATCCAGCCCTAACACCCGCAGTCCAGTCCAGGGGGGTCCTTCTGATGGAGGTGCCGATTTTGTCACACTTGTGTCCCAAGGGCCCTTTGGATGCCCCCTCTTCAGCACGGGATACAGTGATCTTCACAACTGGCACTGCTGCTGTAATCCGTCCTCCCCGCCTCCTGTTCTCCAGCCACACCAGCTTACTAGACTTTTCCTAAACTCCCCTAGTGTACAGGCTACCAGCCTTAGTGAGTCTTCCAGACTCAATTCAGCGAACTCGCAGCATTCATCCTTCAAGAGCTAGAGCACGTCGCCTCTGCAACCTGGATTTCACTGTGTGCATTTCCTCGGGTTCCCCTGTGGTGCTCAAAGCTCACGGACACAACAAATGGTTGTTACACTAAGTAGCCAGTGCTTACCGTTTGTGTGTCATTCGGTGCCTGCACAGTGTCCTGCACTGCAGACTTTGCATGTGGAGGAGGTGTGGCCAAGCCCTGACGAGACCCCGCATTTAACAAGCAGACCAGAATTTATATCCACATGAGACCTGCTTCCTTCAAAGTCTTCGCCTTAAGAGACTGGATACTTTGTCCAGTGATGCTGTGATCACTCAGAACACCTTTGGAACACCTCTCTTGGAAACAACTTCAGCATTTATAGCACTTCAAGATCCTCTGTGGTAGTAGGTTTCTGTTTTGTTCTGTTTTTTTTTTTTTGGTTTTAACTTAACATTTATTACGCATTTATCTATCCCAGGCACCAAGCTGGAGCTGGGTGAAAGATAAGATAAATTGGACATTTACTGTGTCTCCAAGGAAGTTTCTGTTTGGTAAGGGAGATAAGATCTGGACCCCAGGACAATACAGGGTTAAATGATAAGGCTGAGGTTGGATCTGATTTTTGGAAAAGGGCAGAAGTCCTTTGGTTTCAACTTCCCAACAAGGTGGATGACAGAGGTATGTGGTTACACCCTGCATTAAGCCAGTGTGTTCTGAAGACTTCCAAACAAGCCCAGTGATACAGCCCAAATGCGATACAGTGATCTCCACAACTGGCACCGCTGTTGTAATCCATCACGAGACTAAACCCACCTGGCGTGTTTAAGACCCGGACTCCCCACTCTCTGGCGATGCTCCTCCACAGACCGAGTTTTCCCAGCTAAATGGAAAGCTCTGAGAGGACAGGTGCTGAGGTCTTCTCCTTCACTATTTTCACAGTGTCTGGTGGGCGCATAACAGATGTGGGATAAGGGTTAGACGCGTCTCCTGCCGCGCCACACGCCCATCACTTCGGGCATCCTCTCCCCACGTGCGCCGCTCTCCGCGGTGACAGCGTCGCAGGTCCGCGCGGGACGGAAGGGAACGGCTGACAGGAACGTGCGGGGAGGACACGCGTGTGTGCGCGGAGCTCCTGCGTCCTGGGCCCGGGAGCGGGGTCCCCGGTGGGCACTGCGGGGAAGGGAGCAGCTGCCCGCGCGCCGGACGTCCGCCCTCGCCCGTCCTTTTGGGGCCGGCGCATAGGGAGAGGCGTGCTGGCGGCCGGGCGCGAGGCCAGAGGCCGGCCCGCGGGTCAGGGGGAAGGGTTCCGGCCTCGGCCGAGAGCGGGGGGCTGGCCAGGACCGGCGGGAAGCCGGGCCAGGGGAGGAGGAAGAGAGTCTGGGCCGAGATCAAAGGGGAAGCACGTGTGCGGGGCGGCGGCCGAAGCCGGAGCAGGACGCCGAGGTCGCAGCCTACAGTCCCCGCGGCCGCCCCCCGCCGGCGCCGCCCGCCCCGCGCCCGCGGCCCCTCCCCGCGTCCCAGTCTCCTCCCCGAGGGCTCGGGGCCGGGCCGCCACTCCCTCCAGCTCCCGCCCTCGGCCGCGCGCATCTCATTCCAGCCCTCATTCCTCACATTCCAGGCTTCCTCCTTTCAAACCCCAGGCCGGGGGCGGGGAGGGCCCGCAGCTCCCGGCTCCGCCGTGCGGCCGCGTCCCCCAGGTGAGTGGCCCCGCCGCCGCGCCCCTCTGCCGCTCCCTTGGCGCTCTCTTCTTCCGGCCTTGGACCTGCGCTCCGGGCCCGCCTTGCCCCCCCCTCCGACTTCCCTCCCTTCCGCCCTCCTGCGCGCGCTCGGTTCCCCCGGCTCCCTTCCTCTCCCGTTGACTCACCCCGCCAGGAATAGGGATCGCCCGTGCTTTCCCGTCAGTCCCCTTCTGGGAAAACTCCTCCCTCCGCGAGCCCCGCTCCGCCCGGCTCCGCGCACCGGCCACCGCGCGCCGGACCCCGCGCACCGACTACCGTGCACCGGGCACCGCGCACCGAGTACCGCGCGCCGGCGCGGCGACCTGGGCTCGGGGCGGCGCGGGGTCGGCTCTGTCCCGCGACCCGCCTTCCTCCCCGCCCAGCCGATCGGCCCCGGGTCCGGAGCCCGGGTCTCCGGTCGCTGACCCCCCGTCGTCCCTGCAGCGCCCTCGCCGGCCTCCCGGGACCTCAGCGGAGCCGCGGCTGGAAGAGCGGCGCCGGGGCGGACTCCGCGGGACTGGCCCCGCGCGCCCGCCCACCTCCCCGCACCCTGGGACCGGTAAGGCGGCGGCGCGGGAGGAGCTCTCACCCGGGACCGGACTGGGTGGCGAGTCGGGCACGTGGAGGCGCGCGGACCGCAGGGCCGTGGTGGGCGAGAGGGCCGGGGGGCGGGGAAGGGGAGCGCGCGGAGCCGAAAGGACCGGAGGCGGAGCCGAGGACGCCGGCGGCAGAGAGACCCGGCACCCGCGCCTCTTTTCTGCTGGGCGCCTCTCGGGCTCGGAAGGAGAGCCCTGGAGGTGGGTGCCTCGGCGGTTTGCAGTGCCGAGGCTTTGCGAGAGCGGAGGGGACCTCGGCAAAAGGTCCCCGCGCCCCAGCGCTTGAGGAGCCTGGTGCGTTCTACGCTGGGGACCAGCGAGTCTGGGGAGCAGAGCTCCCAGACCCCGAAGCGGATATTTCCCCGGCGGGTGGGCCGACCCGGGACTCGCGCCTCCGTGTACTCGTGTGTCAGGGGGTTCGGGCCAGACCCGGAGGGTAAGTGATGAGTTCATGTGGCGTCTGGCTGTCCTGCCTCCTTAGCTTCGAGTGTATGTGAGGGTGACACCGGCTCACAGATGACTCACCTGGCTTCCAGGAGGCGGATTTGTTTGTGTTGAACGGGAGCGCGTTTCCACTCGAGAAGAGTGCTGTTTGTCTGAGAGCTGAGTGTCTCTGAGGACTTGCGAGATGCCACGTCTCTCAGCGTGCGTTTTCCCCGCGAGGATGCTGTTCCTGGGCGGGACTGTCCTTGCGCCCTGCCGAAGCGGGGGCGGGAGACAGTGTCCCTGGTGGTGTGTGTACGGGAGTAGTTGGCTGTGGGAGTGTGTGGCCCCCAGGCTCCACTCGCCCTGGACCCGCGGAGCTGGAAGGAAGCTGTCCACACCTGCCTCTTCCAGGCAGCTGTCTTCCTAGGGAGGTCGGTTTTGTTCTGCCTGGGCAGAACGTTAAGGGAAGTTGAGATTCTTGCCTTTCGTGACGGTGGTGAGATTTGGGGATGTTTGTGGGGTTGGACCCCCCCCCAGAAAGAGACCATTTCGAATCTTGAGATTTGTGTAAACAGTGCTTTTACTTTACTTATTTATTTTTAACTTTTAAAAAATGTTATGCAGTTTTTAGAGGTAACTTTCCACTTCCAATTACAACAAAATACGGGCTATGTTCCCTGTGTTGTACAACCCATCCTTGTAGCCTGTGGTACACTCAACAGTTTGTACCTCCCCTCCCCCGCCCCTAAATTGCCCCGCCCCCTCTCCACCGGAACCACCAGTTTGCTCATATCTATATCTGTGAGTCCTCTTCTTTTTTGTTATATTCACTAGTCTGTTGTTTAAATTCCACATGTAAGTGATATCACACAGTATTTGTCTAGACAGTGCTTTTAAATTTGGCCCCAAGAACAAGGAGGAATCGAACTACTTTCTCCTGGTCCAGTTCTCCTTAGAGCTGCCCGGGCAGTCAAAAGGAAGAATGCTCCTCCTTGGAGACTTGCTAGACCAGGAGGCACTGTCCTGAGCATTGCAAAGATGCTTTCGTGCCAGCCTGGGAGGGAAGGCTGCCTCTGATTTGCCGGTTGACCTGTGAGGAGAACCTTGTGGGGTATCTCTGTTTCCCCATCTCTTCCTTTCTGCTTTGCTTTCTGTTTTCTCTCCATTGGGGTTTCACCACGTGAAACATTTTAGAGGAGGGAGCTGGGTAGGGCGAGAGCCACAATGCCCAGGAGATTGGCCGCAGTGTGAGATTGACAGCGCGTGGTGGGGATGGGCGGGGGGAACGCAGGCCGACCCCTTATCATCGAGTTCTTTCTTCATCCTCACAGCCAGATGCTGTGGGCATAATGTTTATGGCTTCTTGAAAGGAAGGGACCAGACACTGCCAGGGGGTGGGGACTCGCCGCCCCTCCTCCACGCACCTTGAGGACACAGGTGTGCTGCTGGGGGCCACCTCCCCCCTCACCGGCTCAGGCCAGGTGTGGGTGGGGCTTCGAGGGCGTCTGGTCTAAAGATGGAGTAGAGCGGGTTCAGGTTTGGGGTCACACGTACCAGGGTATAAATCCTGACATTTACTCGCTACCTTTAAGGCTTCAGGCTTGGTTTCCTGATGAGTAATATGGGAGGAGTTCATTAGTATCTATCGGAAAAGTTGGTGGTGAAAATTCAGTGTTTGCAGAGCACCTCGCACCGTGCCTGGCACAGCCAGAGGCGCAGCAGCCAGTGTTTCCTAAGCCTGTTTCAGCCTAGAACCCCTTTTTTCCTGGGAACTTCTCTGAACACCCTTTGCTAAACCCTGCCCTGCCATTCATGTTTATTTAGCCAAGTGGCTTGAGCGTTTGCTGTACGCCAGGCCCTACAGGCTTCTTCCCTCAGACTTAGGGACCAGGGTCGCTAGTGGCCCAGGTGGAGGTGGGAGCCCGGCTTTGTCACCGCAGAGCACAGGGTCTCCAACTCCTATGTTCTAATTACCGTTTTGCCTTGACCCCAGGGTGAACTCGCTGAACATTAGTGAACTCTAATGTCAGCACCTAACCCGCTCATTTTATTTTTATTTATTTATTTATTTATTGCGGTACGCGGGCCTCTCACTGTTGTGGCCTCTCCCGTTGTGGAGCACAGGCTCCGGACGCGCAGGCTCAGCGGCCATGGCTCACGGGCCCAGCCACTCCGCGGCATGTGGGATCCTCCCAGACCGGGGCACGAACCCGTGTCCCCTGCATCGGCAGGTGGACTCCCAACCACTGCGCCACCAGGGAAGCCCACTCGCTCATTTTAGAGGTGAGGAGCAGCCACTACAGAGAACAGTATGGAGCTTCCTTAAAAAACTAAAAATATATGGTCCAGCAATCCCATTCCTGGCATATATCCAGAGAAAACTGTAATTCGAAATGATACATGTACCCCAGTGCTCATAGCAGCACTATTTACCGTAGCCAAGACATGGAAGCAACGTAAATGTCCATTGACAGATGAATGTATAAAGAAGATGTGGTGCATATATACAGTGGAATACTGCTCAGCCATGAAAAAGAACGAAATAATGCCATTTGCAGCAACATGGATGGACCTAGAGATTATCATGCTAGGTGAAGTAAGTCAGACAGAGAAAGACAAATACCATATGATATCACTTATATGTGGAATCTAAAAAATGGTACAAAAGAACTTATTTACAAAACAGGAATAGACTCACAGACATAGAAAACAAACTTACACTTACCAAAGGGGAAAGGGGTGGGGGAGGGATAAATTAGGAGTTTGGGATTAGCAGATATACACTGCTATATGTAAAATAGATAAACAACAGGACCTACTGTAGAGCACAGGGAACTATATTCAGTGTCTTGGAGTAACCTATAATGGAAAAGAATCTAAAAAAGAATATATATACATACACACACAAAATAACTGAATCACTTTGCTGTACACCTGAAACTAATACAACGTTGTAAGTCAACTATATTTCAATAAAAATTTAAAAAATAATAAAAATAAAGATGGGAAACTGAAGCCCTAGTGGGACAGTAGCTTGCTTAAGGTCACACAGCTGGTGAGTGGCACAGCTGGGACTGGAGTCCACCCTGGTCCATTCTGGTCCACTCTGTCTCCTGCGCCGTCTCCTGCTCTGTGGGTCCCAATGCCCAGACTCCTGGCCACCTTCGTCTAACAGGCGTGGAGGCTGGCGCACTGTGCCTCCTGCCTTCCTTTGCCCGCTGTGACCCTTTGCTGGCAGGAGTTGGGACCACAGCTCCCTTTAAGGCTCTGAAACTGTAGCTGAACAGCTGCTGTCTGGGGGGGCCCCCCCTTCCCCCTAGGGTGTGGCCAGTTCAGGGGCCCAGGTGGAGGTGGGGCAGGGCTGTGTAGCCAGGCATAGTCTCCAGCTCCTAGGCTCTCATTCCAGCTTTGCCTTGACGGCTTCTGAAGTGACAGTTCTTCGCACGCTTTTGGTTTTTCCATGTAGATATTAGGGATATGGGCTTGGAGCCCTCAGCTGTAGCGACTGGCCCTTTGGGAGCATTTCCACCAGAATCCCAGCCCCCAAGGGCCTTGCCCAACATCCTCCGGCCTTCAATACATCAGGAGGATGGGCCCGGCTCCCTGCAGTGCAGACTGCGGAGGGTGGGCGGGCCCCCATGGGTGGGGACTCGGCTTCCTTTGACCCAAACTTCACTCGAACAATAGACTTCAGAGGAGTCACCAGGGGCAGGAAATGGGAGCTGTGCGGAGGCTGGGTGACCCTCGTGGGGGAGGGGATGCATATCCGGCCTGAAGGAAAGGCAGGGTGTTGGGGGCAGTGCGAAGGGCACTGGGGAGGGGCCGGTGACACACAGGGTGGGCCTCTCCTCTGCAGGGGCTCTGTTGACTCAGAGAAGCCTGAGCTGCTGAAGCCCATCCTCTGGCTGAGCCCTCTGCTTTGCCTTCTCAGCCGAGGTGTCCCAGTGTCTGCTTGCCTGGCCCACCCCTGCAAGAACTGCGCCGCGTTCCCTCAAGCCCCCGAGATGTTTGCGTGCATTGTCCCGTGAACCCCCCAGGATAAAAGACCGGTCGTGTTCCTCCCCGGCTGATGGCCATCTTGGCGTTGAGCGTTGAGTAATAGTTGACTGGGCCGTGGGCAGAGCTCCAGGTGGGGAAGCAGCCAGCCTGGGTCAGCTGGACAACAGAAAGGGATTTTTCTGAGCTACAGTCAGAACAGGAGGACAACGCGGACAGGCTGGGGGGGCAGGTGGCGGAATGCTCTCCGAGGTGAAGCGCCCTTACCACGCCCTCATCTTTGTCAGAGTAGAGCAGACCTGTGAGAGGGGCGAAGGCCAACCTTGGACGAGGTGCGTTGGACCACACTTGAGTCGCGTTTCCTGAGCTCAGGTGGCCAGATTCTCACAGATCGCGTTTTGGGGACCTGAGAGAAGCTTTTGGGGTCTGGGAGGAGGTGAGGACGGCAGGATAACAAATGCTGTCCTGGTTCATCTCTTCAAGGGGGCAAGACCGGGGTCCTGAAATGGCCGGCTGGTAAGCTTCTTATCCATCCCTGGCC